TTTTTTATATTTTTTTTGAAGCATTATCAATGTACACTGATAGTTAAGTATCTGCGTTTGTATGTTTGTTTGTTATAAAATAAAAATAAAAAAGAAAAGGAGAGAGAACAAACTTTTGAAGCTACAAATATATTTTTGGTAGTACTTCAGAAAAAGTTCTACTTCAGAAATGAAGAGGTATGTGTCTTTTTAAGTGTGTCTTTTGGTATATCTCTGTTGATAGCTGTCAATGAGGTTTACAAATGAAACAGTCAAAGTGAACTTATTAACGGCAACTGAAGTAGAACTTCAGTTTTGATTCTGTTGCGACTGCCGTATTTGCTATGGTTGCTAGCGCTGCTGCTTTTTTTCTTCATTTAAGTTCCACAAATATTTTGTATGGATACTGTAAAAAAACTTGTAAAAGTGGCTTCAATTTGTGTCTTTTTTCTTAGTTCTTACTGTCGTTTTGAAGTAAATCACGGCAGACGAGCTAAGGAAGGGGAACAGAAGGCAGAAGGAGGAAATTCCAATCTTATTTTTTTAGCGTACACTGATAATATTATTTGAATACTGGTTACCATTACTTAATTGCTTTTAGTACTTTTTTTTTTTTTTTTGAACTGGCTAGTTCTAATCTGTGTTATTTTTGTTGGTTATTACAGTTTTATTCTTTTGTGCTATCAAATCTGCTAGCTTTACTGTTACAGTGCTTATGCAGAACAGTCGTCAATAAGTAGACAGAAGGAAAGAAATCTATTGGTTTCAAATGAAATGTTTGATTTAATGTATTTGGTGTCTAAGTTTTTTTTCTTCTTTGTTTCATGAGTATTTTATCAAAGAATTTCAATTTTTTAAGAAAAAATAAAGTGGAAATAAAAACAGCAATATTTATTCTATTACTTTCACTTGACTGTTCTCTTTTACTTCATATTTTTAACTATACAAACTTGGTTATAGGTTTGAACCTTATCATTTTGAGTACCGTTGAAGGTGATGATTAAAATATTGGTGTTGATGCTTGGTCAGTTTCTGGTTCTGTTATTATCAGATATTGATGCTGATGCTAATCTAGATCCTTTAGCTATAGTTTTTACCACTGCTGTTGCCGTCATTATTAATGTTGCAAATATCGTTTTTTTTATTTTTTTTTTTGATATATTTTTATACAAATCAGTGCAAAAAAAGTGTACATCTTTTATAAAGATGGACAGTTATTTAACGAGTGTATATTTTTTAAATTACAAATTTTTTTTTTGTTGTCCTTAGCAGTTGTTTTTGTTTTATGTTTGAGCCCAATTTCTGCGTTGACTTATTGACAAAAAACAAGAAAAAAAAGTTTTTTTTCCTATTGATCAATCATTACCTGTTTGCAGTAGTATTATCATTGTCATAAGCAGTTTAAATTTACCTGCTTTAGGCTTTACTTGTAAAAATTTTTTTAACTTTTGATAATGACTATAGTGTTTGTTTGTTTATTTGTTTGTTTGTTCATTCGTTCGTTCGATGGTTCGTTTGTGTATCTGTTTAACTGCTTTTACCATCAACAACTTTTTTTCGCAATTTTCTTTCTCGTTTACCTAATCCTTTATTCCAGTTTATTCTCAAAATATACACTAATTGTGTTGACAACTTTTTTTTCATTTAGTGCATTCTAAAGCTTAAAGTTTGAGCATACAAAAGAAACAATATTTACTAGTAGACTTACTGATTGCAAGACTGCTATATTTGGTTAGAGAGAAAGAGTTTAGAATTA